AATTATTAAATAGTAATTCTTAACTAAAGTGGGGGCCCACAAGTAATCTAGAATTTTTTTTTTTTAATTGGTGGAAAGAAAATTTGACACCAAATGTGAAATTAAATTCTTGTAACATGAGGGTGTCTATGACAATTTAACTAAGACACAAAAGTCATTAAATTCTTTTGTAAGGGTTCTTATTATAATTTATATTATCTTAAATAGGTTATAGATATTATTATAAGACCCAAAAGTCATGAAAATTTGAAATCTGAAGGACAGTAGCGTTGACTTATGGAAGCCAGTTTGCTGTCGCGTACGACAAAGTCAGCTACAGATGTGGAAAAACTCTGGCAAATTTGCCTCAAAAGAATCTGTCCAAAACAATAAATAAATAAATAAATAAATAAATAAATAAAGCTAAAATATAAAATTAAATTAAATTAAATTAAAAGAAAAAAGTGAATCAAACAAAAATAATATGCTAAAATGATTGTACCAAATCTAAGAATTAAAATTAAATAATACTATAATTTTACTGTTAATGTTCATGCCATTGTGATTGGTGCCAAGGAGACATGTAAACACACTAACAGTACTGAAAAATAATATTGTTTTAAGTAGGGACCAATAAATAAATTAATTAAATGGTTTTAAAAAGTGATTGATGTTTTCAAAATTAAATTCTTAAATTAATTAAAATTCATATAGGTTAAAAATTATCCATAAAGGAAAAAAGTATGAAATAAATAACCTATTTTATAAATTTCAACTTAAAATTTATGAAAGCTGTAAATTATAAAACTAAAACTAATCAAATGAATAATTTTCTTTCGTATTGTATTTTTTTGTATAGAAAATACGCATAAATTGAAAGTGAAACCTCGTAATCTTAAAACGATTATATGTTATTTCATTTCATAATATTTATATATCAATTTCTATTAAATTTGATATGAAGACTATATGATATGTTTTATTATTTCATTCACATATATTATTTTATTATTTCATTACAAAAGGCTATTAATTAGTCTATTATTACTATTATTTGTTCATCAACTGGAACTATCAACTTGGTAATTAATAAATAATTATTCAATAATTAAATAATCAATATAGAATTATTTATGAACAGTAAGTAGGATTTGCCGACGTGACAATTTATTTTGCCCGTTTGTCTGCCTACCATAACACCGAGAATATTGCTACAGTGTTTTTTTATTTTATTTTTTTCTCCAGTTTTATTCATAAAAATATGAATTTAAATCTGGTGTAGTAATATAAATTATTAAATACTGAATGTTAGTATTAATTAGACGTATTTTTTATTGAATCGATCAAAATATAAATTATTAAATATTGAATGTTAATATTAATTAGACGTATTTTTTATCGAATCGATCAAGAAAAATGTGGTCGTTTGTGAACTTTGAATCATTTTTTTATTTTATAGACAAAAAAATTTAAGTTAGATAATTCAACTCTTCAATAGTTTTAATGTCACGCGTAGCTTAATATTCAACCTGGAGGATTGAATAAAATGTGCACAGGGGAAAAAAAAAATAATAAAAAATAAAAGGAACAAATTATCTCGAAACTTTGGAAGATTAAAAAATTCAAAAACAAGAACAACTATTTTCTATGTTACTAATTATTATGCTGTATAAATCACTAAGAAAAGGTACATATATTTTACAAATATACATATTTTTATTAAAAAAATATTATACTTTTAAAAGTTATATATAGAAATATGATTTTTGATAGTGTATTTATATATTTTCTTATTAACTTTATATCACATGTCAATCTTCACAATGGTTAAGTTTTCCTACACAAAAATTTGGGTTCAAGTCCATTTTAATCATTGTTTTAAATAGTTTGTTATGTAGTTCGCTATTACTCGCTATATATTTTTTTCTTTTTCCGGAAAAACGCGACATAGCCTTATATGTTTAGCATTTTTTGCCGAAAAATTTACGCGAAATGTTGAAATGACACGTTTTCTTACGCTATTGTGCGCTACATTGGGCTATATTTCTGCAACAATATTTAAAAAATAAAATATTTAAAAACTCGTACTTTTTAGGGATAAAAGTCATATTTACAAGTGACAACAAAAAACTAAATATTTTGATAATGATTTCATATTAAAAGTTTGAAAATGCAAAGTCTTAAGTTGAATAGTACAATATTTATCAATCCATTTTTGTATATCATTTTATTTTTTAGTATTTGACATTTAAATAAAGAATAAAAAGCTCATATCTAATTGTTAGAATTAAGTTGTAGTTAAATAAAAAATAATAATTAAAATGTATATACTTAAAATTATACTATGAGTCTATGACTTACCTAATTATTTCCGTTGTTTGTTTTTATGGTTTAGTATATATATATTATGATATTTACATTAAACATTTGTGAGAAAGAAATCTTAGATGTTATTTTTTGAAGTCATTCAAATACTAAGAAATTTTTTTAATCAGTCATTCAGTTCTATTATATGCAAATATATTTGTAATATTTATATAAAAATGAAAAATATATCCAAATAGCTTAAGCAACACGCAACACTATTTACGCTACGCAGTATAAAGGCCAAAGCACGACGTAGTACGCTATACACATTTTAAAACACTGATTGTAATACAAATGAGAAAAACATTTATCATAATTGGAGAGGACATAATGATTATCTTTCCCCAAATAGACTAATGAGAGTGTATTTATTTAAATTAATAAAAATATATATTTAAGATTTTATTGTTAGGCTTTTCAAAAAGCCTAAAAAGAAAGTCTTTTGGCATTTAACTTATTTAACACTTTAATTTATCAAATCTTTTAGCTATTTCAAGTGCAAACACAAATTATATATAATTTATTCCAGCATCAAACTTCTCCTTTAAATTTAAGATTTCTAAGGATTTCTAAAATCAATAATTTTATTATAAAATTTCACTCGAAATCTCAAATAAATACATTATTCTAATTAAATGAGTAGACTGAATTGTTGAAATAATATAATAAAAAAAATTTGAACTTCACCACTACATCAATTTGCTAGACTATTAAATTAAAATTAATAAAATAACTGAGGTCCAACTAACATAATAAGACTAATAACTTTCGGAAAGGTTGAATAAAGAGACAAAAATTAGACTAAGCTTGACTTATTAAACATTCTTGGACTTTAGAGTACAATGTAAATGAATACATTATTAGTATAAAATGTTATTAAAAGAGAGCACCTAATCCAACATTAATCAGTCAATCAATCACGTCCCAACCTTTGGACTAATCATGATTGATGTTGATTAATTCCAAAATTGGCTCTTGTGGGATATAATAATATGAAAAATCTACTAGTGA